CAGCCACCTCTGTTGACTCTCCATCAGAGGGCTGACAGACGGCCCAGGCTCTGCCCCACCCCCACCCTCTTCACCCACCTTGATGCTGACCCTGACTTCCACGCCGCCGCCTCCTCTGATTCGGCGGGCAACAGTCCACAACATAACCCTAAAACATGTCTCTATTGTTGTCGCCTTCTGTCTCCTGCAGCGCCGCCAAAATCCAGGGAGGTCCGTCTGCGCTGTTCACGCGATAACATCCCTCAAATCCGGATCCGCGCCTTGAAGATGTCGGCTATCACTGTCCTGACGTTTGTCGCTTGCTGGACACCCTACTATCTGCTGGGCCTCTGGTACTGGTTCTCACCCGAGATGCTGACCCGGGAGCAGGTGCCGCCTTCGCTCGGCCACATCTTCTTCCTCTTCGGCCTCCTCAGCACCTGCCTCGACCCGCTCGTCTATTGCTTCCGGCCCAGCAGGAAGTTGGCCAAAGCACCGTCTCTCCGCATGGCCTCTGGGCGGGCGTCCACCATGAGCAACGGCCCCAGGGCAGAGATGGGAGTCCACTGGGCATGCAAACCAGGATCTCCCCGTAGTCCAAAAGTGGCCTGGACCAGGAAGGAGAAAGTGGCAGAGAGCTGCGTCTGAACAGCCAGCCGACTTGGACCGCTGGGCTACTTTTTCCTTCCGGTAAATTCCGGAATATTCCAGAACGAGAAAAAATAAAATCGAATCATGACCTCTATTTGAATTGGAAGCAAACGAGATCACGTTTGAGGTTCAGATTAAATGATCCATCGAGATTTGAGTCTGACTTTTGAATCAGTTGGAGAAAACATAGGTAGTCCCCGACTTACAACCATTCGTTTCGTGACCGAAGTTACCACAGTCCTGAAAAAAAGGTACATTCCGGAATATTCCAGAACGAGGAAAAATAAATCGAATTAAGACCCCTATCTGAATTGGAAGCAAACGAGATCCCGTTTGAGGTTCAGATAAAATGATCCAGTGAGATTTGACTTTTGAATCAGTTGGGGAAAACACTAGTCCCTGACTTACAACTATTTGTTTAGTGACCAACATTATCACAGCACTGAAAAAAAAGTGTCTTAATTTTTTCCCCCCACGTTTATGACTGTCGCAGCATTTCCATGGTCACACGATTCTAAATTCAAATGCTTGGCAACTGACTCATATTTATGACGGTTAGTGTCCCTGGATGATGTGATCCCTTTTTGCGGCCTTCTGACAAGCCAAGTCAATGGGGAAGCCGGATTCACTTAACAACCGTCTTAGAAAATAACATCGGCGGTGATTCACTTAACAACTGCGGCAGGAAAAGTCGTAAAATGGTGCAAAACTCCCTTAACAAATTTTGAGCTTCATTATGGTCGTCAAGTCGAGGACCAGCTATCATTGTCTGTGGCCATCCTCCAAGGCAATCTGAGCACTCTCATAGATTCAGAGGTGTCTCATCTGATGAATGAAAGACACAATCTTGAGATGGGCATACATTTGATTAATAAAAATAAAATAAAATTCCATGACAGCGTGACTGAACTGGCCTTGAACTGTATTTGCAGACTGAGTATTTTGATACATTTTTTTGTTTGGAGGGGGAGAGCTAAAAATAATTTTCACCCTTCTGTAAATCTTTTTTATTTTTCACAATTGCGGCTGGGGGGGGGGACTTTCTTTTTAAGTGCAACGCAGGTTAACAGATTTGGAAGGGACCTTGGAGGTCATCTAGTCCAACACACACACCCCAGCCAAGCAGGAAGCCCTACACCATTTCTGACCGAGGGCAGTCCAGTCTCTTCTTGAAAGCCTCCAGTGATGAAACTCACACAACCTCCAAAGGGAAATTCTGTTCTTTACAGATTAACAGCATTGGAACTTGGAAGGGACCTCATAGGTCATCTAGTCCAACCTCTCAGCCCAAGCAGGAGACCCTATACCATTTCTGACCAATGGCAGTCCAGTCTCTTCTTGAAAGCCTCCAGTGATGAAATAACAGAATAACAGTTGGAAGGGATCTTGTAGGTCATCTAGTCCAACCCCCCCATCCAAGCAGGGGACCCTACACCATTTATTAACATATTAACAGAATTGGAAGTGACCTTGGTGGTCATCTAGTCCAACCCCCTCACCCAAGCAGGAGACCCTACACCATTTCCGACAGTGGGCAGTCCAGTCTCCTCTTGAAAGCTTCCAGGGATGAAGCTCCCACAACTTCCAAAGGCAACTTCTCTTCCATGGGTTGATTCTTCTCCCTGTCAGAAAATTCCTCCTTATTTCCAGGTTGAAGCTCTCCTTGGTCAGCTTCCATCCATTCTTCCTTATCTGGCCTTCGGGGGCTTTGGAGAATAGCTTGACCTCTTTCTCCTCTCTGGGGCAGCCTCTCAAATGCTGGAAGATGCTCTCCTGTCTCCCCTGGTCCTTCTCTTCATAAGTGCTCCAGTTTCCAAATTGAAATCATTAAATGCTCGAGATCCTAAACAGAAGCCCTCAAATAAACATCTGAATTCTTTGCAGAAAACCCCCCCAAAACCAAATAGCTAAATAAAACATACATGGTCAAACTCTCATTGTCACATAATGGTTGTTAAGAACGTTTCTATAGGAAGTTTTTGTACACTACACAAACTTGTAGATATGTTCTTAACAAATATTATCTGACAATGAGAGTTTGACCATGTTTTATTTAGCTATTTAGTACTGGTTTTTTTCTGCAAAAAGTTACAACAGCACTGAAAAAAAGTGATTTATTTTGAAATAATGTTTTTTATTTTTTGATTACATATTTAACTTCTTTTATAAACAAAGTGTTTTCCCCCTTTTACATCTTCTGTTATGCATAGTTCATTTTTCATCATATTTTCATTTCACTTTTCAGTCATCTTATTTTCTTTCCATATTTTCCAACTTCATTTTAATTTCTTTTTAATATCTAAACGATATCATTATTTGCCTCTCCAAGTTAATCAAATTTAACATACCATTTCCATCTATTATTCTGTTTTAGTATCAATAACATATATCCTCAAATTTGATTTTATATAGTAAACATTTCACTTAATTATTCACAATTAATAGTATTAATCTATTTCCCTCACATTGTATTGAATATATACCATTAATAGATATATTTACTAGGTTTCATTCTATTCTACTAGTAAATCCTTTTCCTTCTTTCCTCCTTTCAACCATTTTCTTCACTTCTCTTGTATTCTCTTCTCTCCATCCATTCGTCTCGCTTGTTCTTGTTCTTGTAATTTTTATATTTTTTCTTTCCATTCTTTTTTCTCCTTTTAAATTCTATTGTTTTAGTACCTTTCCCCAATCCCCCCCCGCAACTTTTCCCATTAATCCCACCTTTGCTATTTAATTTAAATTTTAAAAAAGCAATTTACGATCGCTGCATCTACATGGTCACATGATTAAAATTTGGAGGCTTGGCAACTGGCATGTACTTATGACGGTCGCAGTGTCCCGGGGTCACACGATTCCCCTTTTGCAAACTTCAGACATGCAAAGTCAATGAGGGAGCCTGATTCACTTAACAACCGTGTTACTAAGTGAACAACTGCAGTGATTCACTTAGCAACTGTGGCAAGAAAGGTTGTAAAGTGGGGTAAAGCTCACTTAATCACTGTCTCACTTAGCAGCAGAAATTGTGGGCTTAATTGTGCATGAGATGATCATGTGGGTGCCTTGCTTAACTACTATCTCAACTTGCGCCCATAAGGGGGAGCCCATTACAGTCATAAGTCGAGGACTACCTGTAACAGGTCCTGAACTTACTTTTGAAATGGCTGCTTTAAAAAAAAATGTTTCTAAGTTAATTTTCACCTTTCTTCTCTCTCATTCCTGTTTTCCTTACTTCCTTCCCTTCCTCTTTCCTTTCCCTTCTATTTTCCTGTACTTTTCCTTTCCTTTCCCTTGTTTTCCTTTCCTTCTATTTCCTTTTCCTTTCCTTTCCCTTTTTTCCTTTCCTTGCCTCTTTTCCTTCTCTTTCCTTTTTCCTTGTTTTCATTTCCTTCCCTTTCCCCTTCTATTTCTGTTCCCTTTTTCCTTGTTTTCCTTTCTTTGCCTCTTTTCTTTCTATTTTCCTTTTCCTACCCTTTTTCCTTCTGTTTTCCTTTCCCCTTTTCCTATTTTCCTTGCCTTGCCTCTTTTCCTTGTTTTTCTTCCCTTCCCTTTTTCCTTCTATCTCCTTTTCCTTGCCTCTTTCCTTCCCCTACCCTTTTTTCCTTCTGTTTTCCTTTCCTTTCCCTTTTTCCTATTTTCCTTTCCCTTTCCTTACCCCCTTTCTTTTCCTTTCCCCTTTCTTTGCCTCTTTCCCTTCCCTCCTCTCAGAATCTTTTAGTATTTCTCGGGTACGGCCACTTTAAAAGGCCGGAGAATTCTGGGAATTGAAGTCCACCCAACTTCCAGCTGGCCAAAGTGCTGTAGGACCTTGTTGTTGTTGTGGGCCATTTTCTGCGGGGTTTTCTCTGCTTTGGACCGTTTTCCTTCTATCGGAAACCACCTCACCCAGGAAACACTTTGATAGTCCTCTCTCTCTCTCTCTCTCTCTCTGTGTGTGTGTGTGTGTTTTCTTTGCACTTATTACAGTGTGGCGCCCACTTCCTCCCTTCCTTGTGCAACCTGCTTGCAAAGCCTTCTGGCTTCCCACGCTCCACCCTTTTGCCAGCAAAGCCCAGGTCTGCGTGAATCCGTGGGAATGCAACCCCAAACACGTATTCCCCGGGCCACGTGTAGACACACACACACACACACACACACACACACACACACACACACAAACTCTTAAAAAAGGAGGGAGGGGCTGGCCAGCAAAGGGGCTGCTGCTTGCATGGCCCGCCAAGCTGTTTGCAAGACGCGTGTCGGCCCCGCGCACGTGTGCATGAGGGATGCACCGCCGGGAGGCATTTCTCACCCCCTCCCACGGCACTCTGCACGCGCTCGGGGGCGCCCTCTTTCCCAAGCACTTCCGGGGCCGGCTCCTCCTCCTCCTGCTCGCAACGGCCGAGAAGGGCTGACGTTGCCCGGCTGGGCTGGGCTGACTTGGCGGCTGCTGCTGCTGCTGCTGCTGCGCCCGGGCGCCCCTTTCCCGGCCCAGGATGTGGTTCTTCGCCCGGGACCCGATCCGGGACTTCCCTTTCGAGGCCGCCACCCCGCCGGAGCCGGCGCTGACCCAGCCCGGGGGCGTCTGGCAGCTGCACCGCGGGCGGAGGAAGGTGGGCAGGGGGGTCTTTGCCTTGGTTCGGAGAGGAGGGAGGCTGGGCAGGGGTCTCCCCTTGGGGGAGGGGAGGAAGGGGGCAGGGGGGGGCGGCCAGGAGAAGGGAAAGGTGAGGGGGGTCTTTACAAAAGAGGGGGGCTGGGTAGGGGTCTCCCCTTGGGGGAGGGGAGGAAGGATGGGTCTCCCTTTCCTTGGTGGCAGTAGGAAGAAGAAGGTGGGGGGGGTTCTTTGGAACGGAGGGGGGGGCTGCCAGGGGTCTTCCCTTGGAGGAGGGGTGGAAGGTGGGAGTGGGGTCTCCCCTTCCTTGGGGGGCAGTAGGGGAGGAAGGTGGAGAGGGAGTCCCCCAGGCAGGAAAATGGGGGGGTCTTTGCAAAGGAGGGGGGCTGCCAGGGGTCTCCCATTGAGAGAGGGGAGGAAGGTGGGGAGGGGGTCCCCCAGGGAAGAGAAGGGGAAGGTGGCGGGGGTCTTTGCAAAGGAGGAAGGGGAGCTATGCAGGAGTTTCCCCTTGGGGGAAGGGGCAAGTTTTTTGGGGGGGGTCCCCTTCCTTGGGGGCAGTAGAGGGAGGAAGGTGGGGACGGGGTTTGCATCCTTAGGGGATGCAATGGGATTCATTAGCCCCTTTTAAGATCGGAGGACTTCAACTCCCAGAATTCCCCCAGCCATGATAGGATATGCTTTGCTGGATGGGGAATTCTGGGAATTGAAGTCTTCCGATATTTAACAGGTTAACAGAGTTGGAAGGGACCTTGGAGGTCATCTAGTCCAACCCCCTGCCCAAGCAGGAGACCCTACACCATTTCACAGATTAACAGAGCTGGAAGGGACCTTGGAGGTCATCTAGTCCAACCCCCTGCCCAAGCAGGAGACCCTACACCACTTCTGACAGAGGGCAGCCCAGTCTCTTCTTGAGGGATGAAGCTCCCACAACTTCCGAAGGCAACTTCTCTTCCATGGGTTGATTGTTCTCCCTGTCAGGAAATTCCTCCTTATTTCCAGGTTGAATCTCTCCTTGGTCAGTTTCCCTCCATTCTTCCTTCTCTGGCCTTTGGAGAATAGATTGACCCCCTGATCTCTGTGGCAGCCCCTCAAATATTGGAAGACTGCACTATTGAGGGGTTTTCAGCCTGGGGGACCTGAAGATGCTTTAAGATGTATGGACTTGGAATGATGATAGGGCTTGAAGAGACCCTTGAGGTCTTCTAGTCCAGCCCCCCTTTTCCAGGCCTCATATCATCCCGATTCAATTTGTTTTGGAAAACAACCTCCAGTGATGGAACACCCATAAGGCAATCCAATCCACTGATGAATTGCCAGTTGTCATAAAATTACAATTAAATCAGTAAACCAGAAATGACAGAGATAAAAAGATGATAAACGCAACCAAGCGACAAGCCCCCTTCCTCTTAGCGACTAGCTAGGATTTCATGGCTCTTATAAACCTAGACGAGTGGGGGCCACTTGGATCTGAAGAACTGACCATTGATTGTGGCCCGATTGTGGCTAACAAAGGACCACCATTCTCTCTCTCACTCCTGTTCGTTTTCACTTCTGCAGACCACGGGAGAACCTGTCTCCCTTTTCGTTCACGAGGTGAAGCCGAGTTCCGAAGAGCAGATCCAGCTTGCCAAAACAGCCTTTAGATTCCTCAAGACCCTCCGGCACCCCAATATCTTATCCTACATTGATGGCTTAGAGGTATCTTACAGATGATCTGAACAACGGACATTTGAAACGTGGGCAAAACCCCTTGGGGTGCAATGCCGAGTCTTTTGTTGCAGATGCATATATTTATTATTATTATATTTCATTCATTAAACATGAAACTCAGCCAACTGAACATTCAAATATGCATCACAAACACCATTCACTGGTGTTAATGGTTGATAGGGTTGCTGCCAGCATCCTAGGTATCAACCAGGTATCTTAAAATATGTTCGGAGCAGCAGTTTTTTGCAGTTCCGCTGGTGTTATTGCAGGAAGCTGCAATTTATGGATGTATCTTGTAAAATTCTTGGACATGGTGCCAAGTGCCCTGAAGATAATGGGGTATCCCTGTTACATGCTTCATCCATAGCCGTGTAGTTTCGATGGCCAGGTCGCAATATTTCGTGATTTTTTCCAATTCTTTTTCTTCGACTCTGGCATCTCCTGCAATGCTGAATCTTTCGTTGCAGGTGTGTGTGTGTGTATTTATTATTATTACTGGTTAATCTTTGGTGAGATTCACAGCCTTTGGGGCTGGTTGGTAGCTCAACAGCTCG